ATAGCAGGAACTTCTCGAGGAAGGGCAGCTGTGGTCTGTGAGATCATTTGGAAAGCCCAGTATAACAGCTACTGGTATTTTTCAGGGCTGAGTGTAGAAAGGAGTAACACACCTTGGCATCTCAAGGTCGTTCCCTAGTTTTCAGAGGTAAAACTACAGAGCATTCCTTAAGGACTCACCTTGTGGGCTGTGTGTGTGAGAGTATGTGTGTTTGTGTTTGTGTTTGTGTGTGTGTGTATGTGTATGTGCACATGTGTGTGTATATGTGTTTTTGTATGTGTGTATATGTATATGTTTGTGTGTGTGTGTGTGTGTGTGTGTGTGTGTCTCCCTGCTTACATAACGTAGCTATAACCATGCTGTTTCCTGTCTACACAGTAATCTTCCTATCGGTGTAACAAATGGCAACTTTGGTTTTCCATTTTCCTCCCTGAGCTTTCTGAGCTGAGGATGGGCCAGCCCATCTGTGGAAGTAACACAGCTCCCGCCCGCCAAAGACCATGGATGTGAGATCAAAAGTGTTAGCCTTGACTCTGCTCCTAGTAAGAGCACTTTTCTTTTTCCTTCTGCTCTGAACAAAGAGAAGACAAGAGAGAAAAGGTAGGAAGGAAATGGACCACCCCTTTCCCCTGTGTAAGAAAGCACGTGGATGAGTCCTGGTTCCCTCAGTCCTAGGCCCAGGTCTCCTCAGGCTTATGGGGAACAGTGCTGGCAGGAACAGCTACAGGCCCTGGCCAGTGAAGGCAGCTCCTCCTCAGGCTGGGTCTACTGTATTCTCAGTCTGTAACTCAGGTCCGCTCTCACTCTCATTTATAAGTGTGGATGCCTTTTCTAAGCTCTGATTTATGCTTTATTCTTAGAGATTTGAGACTCTTGGCCCCCACAAGATCTATAACATCAAGGACAGCTTTGTTGTGTATACAGCTTTCATAGCAACCAAATGTTGAGGCTGCCAACGAAGCTGGCTTCGGTTTCCCCCTTGATGGTTTAATAAATGGTGCCAGAGGACAAAGGTAGGAATGTTCCAGGAGGCAGAGTCGGGGATGGGTTGGGGTCAGGATTATGATCAGACCTTCTGGATGCTTCTGGAGAGAGAGAGGGTTGGGAAGGTCTTCCCCTGTGGAAGGCCCTGAGGACTGGAGGAGCTCAACTCCCGCCTCCGCCTCCCAGCATGCCAGCAGTTACGGGTTTCCACTCGCTGGAGGCCTGGCTGGCATCCTTCTGGTGCTCGGGTGCTGTGAAATCATGGGATGTAGTCATGGTGAGCAGAGGGCTCTCCAATATTTGGTAGCACCGTGGAAAGGCCCTTGTCTCTTGCTCCCCCACAAGTCAAGGATTATCATGGGTCTTGAGGGAGACTAACCAGCAGGTCCTCACAAGTAAAAGTTAGTAATGTCTGTTGTTGGATAACTGAGGACAAGGGGACTGGTGTTTGGAAATGAATCGTAAGAATGCAGCCCCTCAGTCACCCCAATTTCTCATCTGGAGCCTCCTAACGTGAGTGTCGATTACCACAGAGAAGGAGTTCGATTCTTCCTCCACCCTCTCCGCTCCTCTCCCCCTCCCGTCATTCCCTAATCTTCTTCCACACCTCGCAGGCCTCCCTTGTCTCCAGCCTCACCCCTACCCTAGTCCACCCTCTCTCCACTGCTGCCCCTCCCAGGCCTCTCCCTGCCACACCCTCCAGGTCCTGTCCCCTCCCCCCTCCTCCCTTCCAGCCCTCTCCTCTCTCACTCAGTCCTCTCTCCCACCACACCCCCGCCCTCTCTTCCACCTCATCCTACATGATCCTCCCTTCACTGTTTAATCCTCTTCTTGTATCACTGAAATAATGCCAAAAAATCAAAACAAAACAAAACAACCAGAACCAATGCTAATTTTACTTTCAAATAAATTGAGACTTAGAAACTAACTAAATTCATTTTTGTATCTTTTTCAGAATAAGAGTCACAGGGTACCACTGGCCTGGCTGGCTTTCATGAAGCTCCGGAAGCTTTTCTTTCTCCGGAGGATAAACGAGGTGGTGGGTGGGGGTGTCCCTTCAAACAGAAGCCACCAGTGGTGTTCCTAGGTGGGGCAGGGGCTCCACGCCCCACGTCCTCAGTGTTCTGTGTTTTCCCCAGGATGCACTCATTGCCTGTCCTGGTGATCATGCAAACTAAACACCCTTTGACCTCCCTGTTCAACCAGGAGCAGTGAACTAGATACTTGCTGTGCCCAAATGCAGTTCACAGTTGTGGGGGAACAGTTCACCATGGTGGGGAGGCATGGCCTTGCAGCTCACAGTTGGAGGGGACAGTTCACCATGGTGGGGAGGCATGCTAATGATTGATTGTAGCTCACAGTTGGAGGGGAATAGTTCACCATGGTGGGGAGGCATGGCCTTGTAGCTCACAGTTGGAGGGGA